GACCGGTTATACACTTATACACAAGGGAACTAACATAGCTAATTTAGCTAACGTTAGCTAATGTAGCTGTTGTAGTGCAGAGAGACGGGACCTACGGATTAAGCAACTAGACTACTTGTAGTGTACATACAGAATTATTTCAATTTAAAATAGTTTTAAAGGAGAGGTATCATGGCCATTTCCACTGATCATAATTCCATTGTTGAGGTATACTAAAATAGATTTATACTGTGCATTTTCTGTACAGACAGAGGCAACGCACTTGTATTTGAATCTGCCAATCAGATCAATCTATTGCTGGAGAGGGGGGGCCTCCCCGAAATCTGTGAGATTGATTGGTTTTATGATCACTGGCACGTAATGTGTCCAATGAGAACGTTAACACGTTAGCCACTGTCAGCCGGAAGTGGCGCGTTCGATTACTGTTTTGGTCTGTCTGCCGTGGATGGGCTGCATTCCACTCCAAATAGCCGGTCGGCCGTAACCAGAATCCAAACGCCAGCTGTTTTATGGATACTCATTTAATTTCCAAGAATATCTCAGTACTGGGTTATTTCCAATTTCAAAATATAAATAAGAAGTAAGTATATTATAGTATATTCAAGAATGAAAAAAATATGTGCATTGCATTGGACACACATATATATATATATATATATATATATATATATATATATATATATATATATATGCATGCATATATGTGTGTGTCTGTATATATTTATAAACTGTATATTATTCCTGATTGCTTTATTTTTGAGAAACCTATTCTGCACCTACCTGGGTTTTAAGAGAGTCCAATACCCCATGAGACTGTTCAGTCTCATAAAACATGCTCAATTTACTTTTTTAAAACACAAGCTCACAATAAATTCAGATGGGAGATCTACAGAAGCAAAGTGTGATAGACAAAGATGCATTCCTATATTGAACAAATAGAAAAGAAAACTTTGTTGTTCCATGAGGCAGTTGTAGCCATAGCAAATGGATTAACAAGTGAATTTAGATACTTAACCTTCAACTACCTGCTGCCTGAAAATCCCTGTGACATCACTGTAGTAGATTGTTGTAACCAACTAGCTGTGTGGGACATTATCACAATACATATTTAAGTTAATTTACTTGGATTGTAAAGGTCTTTCGCTGTAGTTACTAGCCTTGTCAATATGCGTGAAGGCCTATTCTTTCAATATGATGGATTTGAAGAGTTGGATATAGACGTCTAAAAGGACAACATAGGTTGTTTGTTTTACTGTAATTGCAATGCTAATACCAATTTAGCATAGTGGTAGCACTAACTGCTAACAAGGTTTTGATATTCAGAGTCTGGCTGTTAGTGTTTGCTAGCATGTTCAATGGCATGTGCTAAATTAATATAACTTATAATTACACTACTCTTTGCGCAGTTTACCAGTTACTGTTTGAACTGAAATATTTGTACACAGTGTGTTCCATGACGGACACAAACAGCGTTGGAGGCGGGGCCTCGTTCATTCCTATGAGAGCTGCTCAGTGACGCATGAAGACAAAATAGCCTGACACGAGAAAAACGTGACAAATGACCCGTCATGCTGCCTCTCGAGAAGAAGTACCGTATCATAGGGTCCAAGCCAAGTCTCTTATCTGTCATTTCCTCGAACCGGAAGTTGTTCTGTGGCGCCATCTTAAGGATCGTCCATGGCGCTTATTTGTGCCGGAGGACCGAGGAGCCACCAGACCATCCTTCAGTGAAATCCTCATCCGCTCGCCCCGCCCCCTCACTGTGTTTCACTCACTGATTGGACGCTGTAGGATCACCTGATCCATTGCCGTACCCACCATTGAGGTCACAGAGGTCTGGACCTCTGTAATTTTTCGAGGTGTATATAATAAAAGTCGTGAAATAACTGCACATAATTAACAGGGTTCTTTGTAGTACTTCCATTTACTGGCAGTGGGGGCGCTGCACAACTACGTAGCCTCGATTAAAGCAAACAGAAGAAGATTAATTAATTTAGCCGCAGTCCAGAGGAGTGATGAGGTATCTAGAGATCTGAGTCCAGAGGAGTGATGAGGTATCTAGAGATGTGAGTCCAGAGGAGTGATGAGGTATCTAGAGATCTGAGTCCAGAGGAGTGATGAGGTATCTAGAGATGTGAGTCCAGAGGAGTGATGAGGTATCTAGAGATCTGAGTCCAGAGGAGTGATGAGGTATCTAGAGATATGAGTCCAGAGGAAGAGTGATGAGGTATCTAGAGATCTGAGTCCAGAGGAGAGATGAGGTATCTAGAGATCTGAGTCCAGAGGAGTGATGAGGTATCTAGAGATCTGAGTCCAGAGGAGTGATGAGGTATCTAGAGATCTGAGTCCAGAGGAGGAGTGATGAGGTATCTAGAGATGTGAGTCCAGAGGAGTGATGAGGTATCTAGAGATGTGAGTCCAGAGGAGTGATGAGGTATCTAGAGATGTGAGTCCAGAGGAGTGATGAGGTATCTAGAGATCTGAGTCCAGAGGAGTGATGAGGTATCTAGAGATCTGAGTCCAGAGGAAGAGTGATGAGGTATCTAGAGATCTGAGTCCAGAGGAGAGATGAGGTATCTAGAGATCTGAGTCCAGAGGAGTGATGAGGTATCTAGAGATCTGAGTCCAGAGGAGTGATGAGGTATCTAGAGATCTGAGTCCAGAGGAAGAGTGATGAGGTATCTAGAGATCTGAGTCCAGAGGAAGAGTGATGAGGTATCTAGAGATCTGAGTCCAGAGGAGAGATGAGGTATCTAGAGATCTGAGTCCAGAGGAGTGATGAGGTATCTAGAGATCTGAGTCCAGAGGAGTGATGAGGTATCTAGAGATCTGAGTCCAGAGGAGGAGTGATGAGGTATCTAGAGATGTGAGTCCAGAGGAGTGATGAGGTATCTAGAGATCTGAGTCCAGCGGAGTGATGAGGTATCTAGAGATCTGAGTCCAGAGGAGTGATGAGGTATCTAGAGATCTGAGTCCAGAGGAGGAGTGATAAGGTATCTAGAGATGTGAGTCCAGAGGAGTGATGAGGTATCTAGAGATCTGAGTCCAGAGGAGTGATGAGGTATCTAGAGATCTGAGTCCAGAGGAGAGATGAGGTATCTAGAGATCTGAGTTCAGAGGACTGATGAGGTATCTAGAGATCTGAGTCCAGAGGAGTGATGAGGTATCTAGAGATCTGAGTCCAGAGGAGTGATGAGGTATCTAGAGATCTGAGTCCAGAGGAGTGATGAGGTATCTAGAGATCTGAGTCCAGAGGAGGAGTGATGAGGTATCTAGAGATCTGAGTCCAGAGGAGGAGTGATGCGGTATCTAGAGATCTGAGTCCAGAGGAGGAGTGATGAGGTATCTAGAGATCTGAGTCCAGAGGAGTGATAAGATATCTAGAGATCTGAGTCCAGAGGAGGAGTGATGAGGTATCTAGAGATGTGAGTCCAGAGGAGTGATGAGGTATCTAGAGATCTGAGTCCAGAGGAGTGATGAGGTATCTAGAGATGTGAGTCCAGAGGAGTGATGAGGTATCTAGAGATCTGAGTCCAGAGGAGGAGTGATGAGGTATCTAGAGATCTGAGTCCAGAGGAGTGATGAGGTATCTAGAGATCTGAGTCCAGAGGAGTGATGAGGTATCTAGAGATCTGAGTCCAGAGGAGTGATGAGGTATCTAGAGATCTGAGTCCAGAGGAGGAGTGATGAGGTATCTAGAGATCTGAGTCCAGAGGAGAGATGAGGTATCTAGAGATCTGAGTCCAGAGGAGTGATGAGGTATCTAGAGATCTGAGTCCAGAGGAGGAGTGATGAGGTATCTAGAGATGTGAGTCCAGAGGAAAGATGAGGTATCTAGAGATCTGAGTCCAGAGGAGTGATGAGGTATCTAGAGATCTGAGTCCAGAGGAGTGATGAGGTATCTAGAGATGTGAGTCCAGAGGAAGAGTGATGAGGTATCTAGAGATGTGAGTCCAGAGGAGGAGTGATGAGGTATCTAGAGATGTGAGTCCGGAGGAGTGATGAGGTATCTAGAGATCTGAGTCCAGAGGAGTGATGAGGTATCTAGAGATGTGAGTCCGGAGGAGTGATGAGGTATCTAGAGATCTGATTCCAGAGGAGGAGTGATGAGGTATCTAGAGATCTGAGTCCAGAGGAGTGATGAGGTATCTAGAGATCTGAGTCCAGAGGAGTGATGAGGTATCTAGAGATCTGATTCCAGAGGAGGAGTGATGAGGTATCTAGAGATCTGAGTCCAGAGGAGTGATGAGGTATCTAGAGATCTGAGTCCAGAGGAGAGATGAGGTATCTAGAGATCTGAGTCCAGAGGAGTGAGGAGGTATCTAGAGATCTGAGTCCAGTGGGCTGCTTGTGTTCCTGTTCATCAGGACATCATATGAGGACATAAAGACGACATGGCAGCATTTGTGCAGAAGAGAAAAAGAGCGACATCACTCCTGATCTGCAACGAGGTGTGGTTTAAAGTAGACCTATCATGCTATATTTGAATAATATAGGGTAGGACCATACCTATATAAGGCATATTTATACTTTTTCTTTTCCAAAATACCAAACAGATCATGCATTTTAGCCATGCCTCATTTCGCTCAATTTGGCTGTCTCCTCCTGATTGGTGGAGTTGGCCCAATAGCCGTAGCGCCACCGTCCTGACGTCAGGACAGTGTTCAAATCTGGATCAGTTTTTATCAGATCCGTTGCAGCCCCTTTTTTAGAGATTTGGGTATGGAGGAAAATAGAGAGGGTTGTGTTTTCTGACACTTGGTGAGTTCCCTGGAACACCGGGGACACATATTCATGTAGAAAAGACGTACACAAGTGCATTTTGCATGATAGGTCCCCTTTAAATAAGGATGAGGCTTGCTGTTGATACTCACTGTTGTTGCAGCAGGGGCCCCTGGGAGTCAGTGACCCCTCGCTGTCTGAATAAACAGCCAGCAGCCACTGGACTTTGTCCTGCAGGAGACGACTGCCTCCAGCGCTCAGACCAGAACGTCAGACAGATCGCAGCATGGCGGAGAGGAGAGTCAAGGCAGCAGCAGAGCCCCACTTCCTGCAGTTCAATGATCTGGCCTGTGAGGCGGTGGGGGGGAAGGTGAGTTCATCAGAATCTGCTTTATTGCCAAGTAGGCTTACACATATCAGGGAATTAGCACGATTCTTAGTTTGGTGTGTTTGGTTATGGGTTTATTTTGAAATTCTGTTCTCCCTGTGTCTGATTGTCTCTTTGTGTTCACCTGTTGTTGTTGTTGTTGTGTTTCTGTTGTCTTTCTGCCTCCCCAGCTGTGTCTTGTCATGTGATTTCCCTTCTGTGTATTTAGCCTCGTCTCCCCTCTTGCTCCCTGTCCGGTCGTCGTCTCTCTTCTCCACGTTACCTGCTCCTCTCTGTCGTGCTCCCCGGTTTGCTTATGTTTAGTTGTTTCTTGTTTTTCTTTGTAATCGGCTTTTGTTAAATAAAGCTCGCTTTTTGTTATACTTTGTACCCCTTCTCCTCCTTCTGCGTCCAGAGGCCTGTACTACGAAGCCGGATTTTCGCTTAGCGAGCTAACTTCAGGGAAAATCATATCACATCATAATGTATCATATATCTCCTTATCTGAGTCAGCTGAGCCGTATCTGGCCGTGCAACACTCACAGTGTCACATACTGTATGCAGAAGTATTATTTTAAGCAACACATTAAGTTGACGAAACACTGGAGTCAAATGTAATGAAAGTCAGATCGTGTCTTAGACGGGGCAGTGATATCATAAACCTGTTAATGTACGCATTCAAACACTTTCTCTGTTACCAGCTGTATTCACCTTGCAGGTGCAGCTATGTGGCTTTGATCCTGGATAAAGTGTTTAAGTCATGGATGTTTAAAGTTTAACTTCTTCATATTTGACTAATATTAAAGTTCACTTTTCATTCAGGAAGTATGACGCTGCGCTGTCAGTACGCTTCTCCATGTTTGTGATTGGTCGAATGCTCCAAATACCACCCCTTTCATGTGAACGCACACCTAACTAGATAGGACACGGCTGGCTTGAGCGATCCACTTGATAACCAGCGTCGTAGGACAGTTTAGCGAGAGCGCGTATGTTTTGGATTGGGCCAACCGGCTAACTCAAACATATCCAGGTTATGTTGAACCGGCTTCGTAGTACAGGCCTCTGATAACCCCCACCCTGACAGAAATAACCTTGGTGTATTTGGTGCTTACACAAACACAGGTAAAGAAGATATAAAACAATTGAAGCTATAATACGTTAAGATATAGAGAATTATTTACATGAAATCTGGAGATACTTGAAACGATGTTGTACAGCAGGGGTGTCAAACTCAAGGCCCGGGGGCCAAATCCGGCCCGCGACTTCATTTTATGTGGCCCGCAAGAGCTTGCAAAGAATATAATATACAATACAATTTTATTGTCATATGTACATAGCTACAGTGTTGTTATGACAATGACATTCTTAGGTCACAGGCTCCTCCAACAGTGCAACACAATAACACAGATACAATTGTGCAAGTAAATACAATAAAATATAATATAATAGAAATAGTGCAGAATAGTCTATATACAAGTAATTGGAATATTGATATATGTAAGTTGCAAACAGGTGAATGTTATGGATGTTCTTTCCAAAGTTTTGATGTAATTGTTGAATATTTGCTTTCAATTATGTGCCCTAGACTTCTGCTTTCAGACGTAGTTATTTATGAAGTTATTACCAGGACTGATAATAATCCAATGCAGAGCCAATAATATAATAAAATACATTATTTAATATATATTATATATTTATATATGTATATTTATATAGTCTTAAAGTTGCAACCGGCCCTTTTGAGTGCAACCATAATGCTAATGTGGCCCGCGATGAAATTGAGTTTGACCCCCCTGTTGTACAGTATACTATGACAAAGTACTCAGAATAATAAAATAAGTGCAGTATTGTTATGGAAAGAGGCGGCTTGTGTACAAATGTGCAGAATATATTATAATTCATAAATAATAAATATTCGGAGGGTTGTGCAGGGCTGGCAATACTTTAATGAAACAAATCAAATCAAGTTGTTGTTTGCAAAGAGTCTGCAGAGTTGATTCATTTAGATTTGGTCGACAATATCCAGCAGTTATGTTCACTTCCTTTCTATGACTTCTAATGACATAATATTGATATCAATCAATCAATCAATCAATCAATCAATCAATCAATCAATCAATCAATGTTTATTTATATAGCCCAATATCACAAATGTTACATTAGTCTCAGTGGACTTCACAGTTTGTACAGAATATCAGTGACAATACGACCCCCTCTGTCCTTAGACCCTCTGTCCTTAGACCCTCTGTCCTTAGACCCTCTGTCCTTAGACCCTCACATCGTACAAGGAAACACTTCCAGAGAAACCCCACAGTTTAAAGGGAACATGGGAGAAACCTCAGGGAGAGCAACAGAGGAGGGATCCCTCTCCCAGGACGGACAGACGTGCAATAGATGCCGTGTGTAAATCGAAGAGATAATACATTTACAACATAGGTAGACCACATGTTTGGAAATGCATGTGTCTATAATAAGAAGATGAATCCACGAGGATATCCATCCAGGACTTATGATCCAGGACCACAGCAGCAGGCACAGCCACGACTCAAGATCCAGGGCTCACGATCCAGGACTCAGGACCACAGCAACAGGATCAGCCACGACTCCGGATCCCGGCGTAGATAGACACCAAAGAGAAATGTTGGGGAAGCTGGGTTATTCGGAACAGACAGAGAGAAGGAAGAAGTGAGGTGTCCCCCGACAGTCTAAGCCTATAGCAGCTAAACTAGGGGCTGAATCTAATCAGCCCTAACTATAAGCTTTATCAAAAAGGAAGGTCTTAAGCGCACTCTTAAAAACGGATAGGCTGCCTGCCGCCCGAACACAAACTGGAAGCTGATTCCACAAAAGTGGAGCTTGATAAGAAAAGGCTCTGGCTCCCATTGTGCTTTTAGAGACTCTAGGAACAACCAACAACCCTGCATTCTTGGAACGCAATGCCCTAGCCCAGGGGTCGGCAACCCCTGGCACGCGTGCCACCATTGGCACGCGGCACCGTAACCAGTGGCACACTAGGAATAAGTGGAATAAGTGTGCAAAATATTTAAATTGTATTTTCGGATCCTGAGCGAGACCGCCGCCAGAGCGCGTCTCCCTGTTACCTGCAGAAGGAAGCCATGCACGCAGCGCAGCCCCGCTCTCTTTAACTCCAGGTGACTTTCTGCCGCTTTCCTCCGTGGTGCAGGGCTGATCGTTTCACCACAGAGGAAAGCACTTCACAAATGTCAGTACCCATAAGGAGCTTTACAAATGCCGCAGATTTTGCGTGGCTGTGTCTTTAGTTGAAAGCCCAGTGGCGATCTGCTCATCTCTCATTGAAATCATATGCTACAAAGGACTGGCCATCTGTGTGTTGAACTTTCCTGTCGGCTCCCAGACCGTAGTCGAGGAGGGCAGAAGCAACAAGCTTCAGGTTCAATAACCCACTTTAGCTTAAATGACTGGAGAGAGGCGAGCCCTTCTTGGGAAGCGGTTGCATTTATTTAGTTGTTCTTCTGTTTCACAAAATACATCACAGACCTCTGTTTTTCTGCTGCCTCGTTTCACTTCCAGAAACATACACACGCTCGCTCACTGTCGCTCTACCATCCACACACATGCACACGCCACACCCCTCTCTCTCTCTCTCAAAGGGACAGCGATCTCATCTCACTAGGGATGGGTATCGTTAAGGTTTTAACGGTACTACTACTTTTATCGATACCCCTTATCGATCCGGTCTTTTATCGGTTCTTTTGGAGAAAAAAATAACTAAACAAATTGTGAACAAAACTAACATTGCTTTTTATTTAAATTAAATAAATAATATTTCACATCAAAAGAAACAACAGTGTTTTAACAAATCGTATTAAATAATGTGATGACAGAACTGTGAACAGAATAGCTGAAACTTTAACAAACTAAATAACTCAGTTCCCTCTAATCATTAACCCATGTTTGTATAATTGAGTTAGCTCCGTGTGTTGCTGCTAGCATACATAACACCTGACGTGGAAACGTTACTCGTGGACGGGGCTACAGAGCTACTAGAGAGACAGTCGAACCCGGTGCATTTCTCCGTCTGGATGTGGTGCACTTTTGCTAAATGTTTAGACAGATTGCTCGTGTTACCGCCCTGACATGCTAAACTCTTATTGCACTTTAGGTAACGATCGAGACGGGTAAAGTTTAACCACACCTCGGAGTGCTTAGTTCTCTCCGCCATCTCCTCCGTGTGTGTGTTGCTGCATGTAGCAGCTGCGTGTGTGTAACCTGCCCCCTCGCACACAGGCGAAGGGAGAGAGATCTCTCGTCTGGATTGGATCCAGATCGAAAATACTAAAAATAATCATAGACACATTTTGCTGTCTTTTTGCGTATTAGAAACGGAGTTGGCGACACTAAAACTGCAATATAATGTTTGTGTAGCACACTGCTTCCCCGCAGCGAGGCCCCCTCGCCCTCCTGTTGATAGTTCACGAGCGTCAAGCTCCTCAACCCCCCCCCCCCCCCCCCGTTGATAATTCTCAATCGTTGGCACGCTGATAACAATTTTTTTTTAACATGGCACTTCATATCTAAAAGGTTGCCGACCCCTGCCCTAGAAGGACAGTAGGGTACAATGAGTTCTTTAAGGTAAGATGGCACCTGCCCATTAAGGGCTTTGTAGGCGAGGAGAAGAATTTTAAATTCTATCCTGTGTTCTCTAGGGAGCCAGTGTAAGGCAGCCAGAACAGGAGTAATGTGGTCCCTTTTCCTAACTCTGGTTAGTACACGAGCTGCAGCATTTTGAATCAGCTGAAGCGACTTAACTGACTTCTTGGTACACCCTGATAATAAAGAGTTACAATAATCCAGCCTTAAAGTAACAAATGCATGGACTAGTTTCTCTGCATCGCTTTGAGGATATGCCTGATTTTATAACACGGTCGTGTCACTGTGGAGCCACCCTGTACGATGTGCTTTGGAAATACTGTGTTTGTTTGATGTGGTAAGTACGGAGGTCGACAGGTGCCAACACGTTTCAACGGCCCGTAACTCCTCCATCAGGAGAAACAGCTTCAGAAAGGATGCGGAGATAGAAACCCAAATGTTCCACATGAAGAAACATCTTCAGCAACTTGAGGAAACATGCGCAGCGTTTACTAAAAGCTGCAGAAACTAATCGTCTCATCGTTGTGTTTTGAGCTCCTTCAGCGTTTTGTATTTGCAGCGTTTGGTTTCTGCAGCTTCTAGTAAACGCTGCTCATGTCTCCTCAAGTTGCTGAATGTTCTCTAAATGCTGCATGTGTTGCTGAAGATGTTTCTTCATGTGGAACATTTGGGTTTCTATATCTGCATCCTTTCTGAAGCTGCTTCTCCTGATGGAGGAGTTTTGTAACGTGTTGGCACCTGTCGACCTCCGTAATACCACTCACACATTAGAGTGAATATATCCCAACAATTCCTTGCTAATGTTGATTAACAAAGCTTTAGCTTTTCTCTGGTTTGCAGTGTTGCACATATTATAATTCTTTGGTCTGTATTGAAATAAGCGTGTTGTTCTTTCAGGTTATTTTTGCTACGGACGAATGGTTCGCTCCGGCTGCAAACCTGCTGAAGGTACGACTCAGATCCAGCCGTTCACACTAAAGTGTTTCTCTTCCTGTACTTCAGATATTTTATCAGCGTCAAATCGATCTTTATTGCACAGAGAGAATTGTATAAAAGTTAAAAAAATGAACAGGAACCTCTGATGCAATATTCACCTCACATAATCTGCTGAAAACACTCGTTCTTGTGTTAATTATTTGTGTGTACTGCGCAGGTTACCACTTGTTCTGTACTGGTGTTGTTATGCAATGAATATAATGTGAAATATCCATAAAGCATGAAACTAAAAAGGCTCCCTTAAGGAAAAGCTTGGAGTAGTAGGGATTTAGTCCAAAACACAGAGAACTTCAGCAGAAGTAGGTATCAACTTTAAGATGTACTGATTGTTCGTACAGAGAGAGCAGCCGGTGTTCATCGCCTCGGCCTTCACTGAGTTTGGGAAGTGGATGGACGGATGGGAGACGAGGAGAAAGAGAACACCGGGTAAGAAGCAACACAACACATTCCCGCCCTCCTCACCTGATCAAAGAAACACCTTTTTCCTGATGAAATACAATCCTCCTGTTGTCAGCATTTGGCAGAAGCACCATCAACGCCTCACATAAAAAAACTGAACCCTCCTTCATTAACTCTAAAATGTTCAGAAACACCCAAACACAGAATGAAGAGGACGCAAGTATGAACTAAATACATCTCTAATGATATAAAGGGCAGGACCTCGGAAAGAAGTATTTCAATTTCTGAGTGGTTTTGAGGGTTATTGTGAATCAATTTCTGACATTTTCAGGATAAAAGCTGGCAGTTTTAACCTGAAAATGTCCATATCTGTTCTCTCTGTGGACTGAGTCTGATGCATTTGGGTCGATTTGGAAGATTTAGGGGACTCTGGATCATCTGGATTGGACAGATTACTTATTTATTTGAATATAAATTGTCCACAGTCGAGGTAGTAATGTTCATCTGGTGCTCTCTGTATCCAATGGTCCAACACTACTCATGGTAATCAAAATCAGTCCACAGAGAGTACAGATATGTCCTCCTTCTGGTTAAATCTGCCATTGCTGATCCTGAAAAAACACTCCAAAACTGTCCATATCATAACACTTTGGGGTACTCAACATCTCCGGGTTCACAATAGGACTGTGTGAGCTGTAGACAGACTACAAAGTAGGTGTTAAAGGTCAGGAAGCACTGATGTGGTCACTATAGAGTAATCCACTTTCTAACCGAGGTATTTCAAACATTCAGATGGCTGATTCAGAAATGGACTCAGCATCCTCAATAACCCCCAAAACCACTCGATCACTGTCCAAATCAACCAACACATTTTTTAACTATTGTCCACTTACTGTAGGCTATAATGCTAATTAACTCAACTTATGCTAACTGTGTAAATGCCCAGCATCTGCAGGTTAGCATCCAGCAGTCTCTCTGAGCTGGAGACCCTACTATACATTTCTATCAGAACACTTTGGGGTCTCAACATGTAAGGGTTCACAGTGTTAGCAACTAGACTATTGTGCTCGTATATTTCTTACTTTGTTGGTTTTTAACACGGTTTTTCTCATCTCACTTTCTGTGGAGGTCACGACTGGTGCATCATCGCTCTCGGTGTGCCGGGGCTGATCCACGGCTTCGATGTGGACACGTCCTTCTTCACCGGGAACCACTCACCCCACGTCTCCATCCAGGCCGCCTGTCTGGGTACTAATCCGCCTTATCATTTCCTAAATAAGAAACCTGGGAATCAAACCACCGAGCATCCAGTAGAGTGGTGCAGGAATGAGTCCTAAAATCCTGACATGAGTCAACAATTCATCACTTCCTGTCCCCTGGTCTGGAGTATGGTTTTCTGAGTGTGTTTTTGGTTTCTATCCTGAAATAAGATCAGCGGTGGTGACGTGAAGTCATGTGACCGTGCTGTAGTTAATTTATAGCCCAACATTAGCCACCTTTAGCTTAGCGGTGGTGACGTGAAGTCATGTGACCGTGCTGTAGTTCCTTTATAGCCCAACATTAGCCACCTTTAGCTTAGCGGTGGTGACGTGAAGTCATGTGACCGTGCTGTAGGTCCTTCATAGCCCAACATTAGCCACCTTTAGCTTAGCGGTGGTGATGTGAAGTCATGTGATCGTGCTGTAGGTCCTTCATAGCCCAACATTAGCCTCCTTTAGCTTAGCGGTGGTGACGTGAAGTCATGTGACCGTGCTGTAGTTCCTTTATAGCCCAACATTAGCCATCTTTAGCTTAGCGGTGGTGACGTGAAGTCATGTGACCGTGCTGTAGTTCCTTTATAGCCCAAAATTAGCCATCTTTAGCTTAGCGGTGGTGACGTGAAGTCATGTGACCGTGTTGTAGTTCCTTTATAGCCCAACATTAGCCTCCTTTAGCTTAGCGGTGGTGAAGTGAAGTCATGTGACCGTGCTGTAGGTCCTTCATAGCCCAACATTAGCCTCCTTTAGCTTAGCGGTGGTGACGTGAAGTCATGTGACCGTGCTGTAGTTCCTTTATAGCCCAACATTAGCCTCCTTTAGCTTAGCGGTGGTGACATGAAGTCATGTGACCGTGCTGTAGTTCCTTCATAGCCCAACATTAGCCACCTTTAGCTTAGCGGTGGTGACGTGAAGTCATGTGACCGTCCTGTAGTTCCTTCATAGCCCAACATTAGCCACCTTTAGCTTAGCGGTGGTCACGTGAAGTCATGTGACCGTGCTGTAGTTCCTTTATAGCCCAACATTAGCCACCTTTAGCTTAGCGGTGGTGACGTGAAGTCATGTGACCGTGCTGTAGTTCCTTCATAGCCCAACATTAGCCACCTTTAGCTTAGCGGTGGTGAGGTGAAGTCATGTGACCGTGCTGTAGTTCCTTTATAGCCCAACATTAGCCACCTTTAGCTTAGCGGTGGTGACGTGAAGTCATGTGACCGTGCTGTAGTTCCTTCATAGCCCAACATTAGCCACCTTTAGCTTAGCGGTGGTGACGTGAAGTCATGTGACCGTGCTGTAGTTCCTTCATAGCCCAACATTAGCCTCCTTTGATGTTTATCTGTTCTTCACCAGACCCCCCCCCCCACCTTCTCTCTGGAGGGGGACCGGACAGGAATGGCCGCCTCCGACGCTCAGCTGACTGCTGTTGCCAAGGTAACGTGATTGACAGCTGAAGTTTTAGGCTGTGTCGGCAAGGTCAAGTTAGTTGTCTTTACTGTTGTTACCTGCTAGTATTCATGTAGGTTACTCAATATATTTAAGAGTTTATAAGGCCTTAAATGGCCGTGCACCAAATCAAATTCTTCTCTTTTAAAAGCATCCTGTTGAGAGTCTGTTCAGAGAATATGAGGAGCAGAAATTACAGATAATTTAAACAAAAACACAAATGTAAAATGTATGCAGTGTTACGGCCCGTCCACACGGCGGCTTCTGCCCATTCACTTTGAATGGGTGACGTCACGCTTCGCCGAACTGCATTGTGGTCGCTTCACTTTGCTCGCGTTGCTCGCTTCAAAAGTTGAGCAATGTTCAACTTTTGAAGCTTCGACGGAAGCGTCAGCCAATCAAATCATATGCCAGTACAAGCTCTAGCCAATCAAACCGCGTGCTTGTGTGTCCGGGGCGGGAGATTCATGTGATTGGTAGTTGGTCGAGTTTCAGACACGCCCACCGGCAAGCTTCAACGCACGCCGCCGTGTGGACGCTGCGTTACAGAATTTGCTCTTCCTCTGCATTAGTTTCAACTTCACTGCTGATCAGAATGACTTCCTTCCTCCCTATTTTTTAACATTTGATTGTTGATTGATCCTAATTTGTATCAATTTCTGTTTAAAAGAGCATTGGATTTTTTTTTTTTATGCAAGATGTGACTGGCCCATTTCCTTCTTTGTGAATGATGCACTTCCTGTTAGTGTTGCATTTAGGCTTGGGTTGTAACGGAGTTATGTAATCATGATAAAAAAAGTGACTGTGTTCCCGAGCAGCTGCACTCGGAGGCGTGGCCTGAGCTGCTGAAGGAGGCGGAGCTTCAGCCGGGGTTTTCCCACTGCTGCAACAACTACTACAGTGTGAGAGTCACACAGAGAGTCACACACCTGAGGCTCAACATGCACCCAGGTACACACACACACACACACACACACACACACACACACACACACACCACAACCACACACACACACACACACACACACCACACACACCCACACACACACACACACAACACACACACACACATACACACACACACACACAAACACCAAACACACCCACACACCACCACACACACACACCACACACACACACACACACACACCCACACACACCCACACACCACGCACACACACACACACCCACACACACACCACATTCACACACACACACACACACACCACACACCCACCACCACCACCCACCCACCCACCCCACACAACTCACACTCACTCACACACACACACACAACCCCACAACACCCCACACACACACACACACACCCACACACACAACCCACCACACCCACACACCCCCATCACACACCCACACACACCCACACCACACAACACATTCCACATCACACACACACACACACACACACACACAAACACACATCTTGCTCCCTTACAGTAAAAGTAACTCCAAAATATTTGTTGTTATGTTTTTCATACACAATGTCTTTTATACTTCTGAATAACTCCAGTGGGAGAGAAACTCCCTCTGGAGGAACACAGGGATTTTATCCTCTGCAGACCGTTGACATGCACTAACACCTATAGAACAAACTACAGAAGAGGGAGCACCACAGAAGAAGAACAGGCTCTCTTTAACCTCCTCTGTCCGCAGACGGAGGGATCTCCAGACTGCGGGTGTACGGCGTCGGGCAGAGAGACTGGTCCGACATCTCGCCCAATCAGGACGTCGACCTGCTGGCCCTGACCAATGGGGGCGTCTGCCTCGGCTACAGCGACGCCCACTTTGGGCATCCACGCAACATGATTGGTTAGAATAATGTGTGCATTTACGTTTTGTATAGTTTAAAAGTGGACTTGTTTTCCTCTGACAGCCGCTGTCTCAGTCAGTAGGGGCTTGGACTGGGAGGGTCGCTGGTTCAAGTCCCCGAACAAACTTAAAAAATTGAGTGTGGAGTGATACTTGGAGAGGTCTCAGTTCACCTCCTGGCCCCTGCCCTTGAGCAAGGCACCGGACAACCCCCCACTCCCCATTGCTCCCCTGTACAATAGCTGCCCTCTGCTCCTGGTACTAGGATGGGTTAAAAGCAGAGAACAAATGTCACTGTGTGCTGTGTGCTCTGCATGTGAGACCATTAAAGAGGGTTTCCTCCATTCAATGCAATGTGTCTGCAGGTCTCGGTCGAGGTGTCAACATGGCGGACGGCTGGGAGACGGCCCGGCGTCTGGACCGACCCAAACACCTGGAGGTTAGCCCTCTGAACACTTAACCCAACCCAGTCTCACGGCATTTCGTGTTATAGTCACGACATTTAATCTATTGATTCGTTTTCACCAACACGATTTTCACATTTTTTTCGTGTCACACAGAACGATTTTAAAAGCAATGTATTTCTATTGGTAGTATGTTTCGTGCCTGCAACACGTCTTTTTGTCCGGTCGGGTCTTGGAAGACCGGAAGCTGTGTGGTTCATATGTTCATATGTTCATATGTTCATATGTGTGTGTGGAGTGATGAATGGATGTAGGGGTGTATCGTTGAAAGGGGTTGATGGGTGGAGGGATGAAAGAGTTTGGCTAAGTATGAGGTAGAAAGGAACCGTAGAAGGGAGAGGGAGGGATGAAGGGATGAAGGGATGAAGGGATGAGGGAGGGGTGAAGGGATGAAGGGATGAGGGAGGGTGGGTTGAGAGAATGGAGACAATCGATGGCCGGATGTTTGGCCGGATATAAATAGAGTTGGCTGTGATTAGAGACGGGTTGAGGCGTGGCCATGCTCCTGAACCTAGGTTAACAAATGAACTTCATTTGTTGTAGAATCAGAATTCCTTTATGGAAATAAAATGAATTAAAGAGCAGCTTTTTTTCCAGGAGGACGAGCACGGCGTCCTGCTGGTCCCGGGCTGGGAGTGGGCCGTGTTCAGACTCGGTCACCCCGGAGTGATCCGCAGCGTGGAGCTGGACACCGACCACTTCAAAGGTCCACACGCCAAAATATTCAGACTTTTTCTCAAAGTTTTCAGACTTTCCTCTTAATAGACAAAAAAAAAATCCGCAAAAAATCCAAACTTGTTTCTGAAAATGTTTTAAAAAAGTCTTCGTAATATTCCGCCTTTTTCTGAAAATCGTTTCTCTTTATTTGCAGCTTTTCCTCAAAAACTTTCCTTATAATATTCCAACGTATTCTTCCATAATTCCCATACTGTTCTGACTTGTTCTCAAATGTTTTCTCTAAATCGTTTTATTCTTCTCTCTCTTAATAGTCTAGCTTGTTAGACTTGTATCTGATAATACAAACATATATTCCTCTGAATATTCAATTTTCTTTCTTAAAATATTCAGCCTTTTTATTTTAAATATTCCAACAGTTTGCCTGTGAATGTTCTTAATGTGTTTCCCATGGTGTTCAGGAGGAATGACCTCTGTATTTCCTGCAGGGAACTTTCCGGACTCCTGCAGCGTGGAGGTGTGTTCGCTGACCGCCGGGGAGGAGGCTCAGAGCCGCAGCAATGGGTGGCATTCTGGGAAATGGCAGATCCTGCTGCCCCCCAAGAAAGTACGTTCATTACATCACATCACAGTACATTAAAGTACAGTACAATACAGTACAGTACATTACAGTATATTACATTACAGTACATTACATGACAGTATATTACATTACAGTACAGTACATTAAAGTATAGTATATTACAGTACAATACAGTGCATTATAGTACAGTACATTACTTTAAAGTACAGTACAGTACATTACAGTACAGTATAGTAGAGTACAGTATAGTACAGTACATTACTTCAAAGTACAGTACAGTACATTACAGTACAGTACAGTGCAGTACAGTACATTAAAGTATAGTATATTACAGTACAATACAGTGCATTATAGTACATTACAGTACAGTACAGTACATTACAGTACATTACAGTACATTACAGTACAGTACAGTACATTACAGTACAGTACAGTACATTTAGCTAATGTTCCCTCCATTCACTTCATGTCTTTCTTCTTTCTAAAAAAATCTAGTTTGACTGCAGTAAAAGTACCAAAACCACACTGTAGGAATACTATGTTACAGTCAATGCATACAATATATATATCTCAAAATCTATCTATTCTCTCTCAATATATTCTTAACTTTTATACTAAATATTATCTGAATCTCTGAATCTCTGAGTCCTCT